ATATTTTTAAGTGGGATTCTGACTAAAGAATGGCAGAAACAAGAACACTGTAAAGAGATCTGTGCTCCATTCTATCCCTCCATCCCTGCTTTAGATGTTCAGAAGTGCTGCTATTTCACACTTACTCAAAAAATCTAAACAGATTCAGCTAACTGTGGCCCACCACTACCATCCCTGTTATTTCCAGTGTATCGCTGCCTCAAGGCCTGCAGCACCAGTGAGTCAGGTCTATTCCTCCTGGACTTCTACCTGCTGGTAAGGCCCATAGTGAAAATAGGTCAACTGCTGGCATTATTCAGGGCTATGCTAAAATGATTGATCCAAACGCTTGTTTGAGTGTGTTTTGGCCCTGTGCAGCGAGATCCTGTCCAACAGGAACATCCTCACACTGCAGAAACCACCACCACACTTCAGCCTGAGAAGCTGCAGCCAGGAGCATCGGCGTTAGTCAGCACTCCAGCAGTACAACTGCTGGGCTTGTCTGCGTAACTCAGCCCTGCTTCCACCAGCCCTTCCGCACCATTACATTCAGCATTGTCCCAGGAAATTCAGGGTAACAGGCAATTAAACATGCCCTCATTTCAGAGTCAATGAAGCAACACCTGCAGCAGAGAGGCTCGTGCCACAGCGGTTGCCCCAGTCACAGGGACACGCTCCCATCTGCCAGAACTGGCAGGTGTTGTTACCTGGCAGCCGCTGGCTGAGAGAACATGAGTGTGCTGAAGTTCCCTTTAATACAGAGTTAAAGTAACACTGCATATAAAAAGCAACCAAATCAAATGCATGCGGCCAACAGTAAAGTCTGTATGAACAAATGCCATTCCAAATACTCAATGCTTGTGCTACCCGCAGGTTCCCCTCCCACTCCACAATGCCCCACAAAGAGGCTCTCTGTTATATTCCCCCCCTCCCCTCCCCCAGCTAAGAGCTGTGCTTTGGAAGTACCACTATTTTCTTTTGTACTTCCTGCCACATTTTGGGAAAAAGAGATTTAAATTCTCTTCCACTAATCAGTAACTCTTCCTACTTGAAACCACGTTAAGAGTCCATCCTAAGCATTCCCTTTCACTCACTGTCACTGAAATAGCAAGTCTTACTCTCTCTTAGGACAGACACAGCCCCAAGCTCAACCCCTACACCTCAGAAAGCAAAATTCCTGGCTGGGAATCCCTAGCTAGGTCCTTGCCAACCAAGCGAACTGTTAAGAATCTGAGATTTCCTTTCTCATCCGTTCACACAAAGGTAATTTGTATTTTGACCATTTGAATCAACAAGTTAAAGATTTGGGATTAAAAAAAGGAAAATGAACATTGTTCCCAAAACATAAGATTCTCACAGCTGCCATTTAGACAAGCTCTTCCATTCACGCAGGTTCCTCCACAGCGTTGCACCAAAGACCACATTTGTAAGGTAAATTAAGGAACTTTGTACAAAATGCAACCCCATACCTGCAAACAGACTTTGTCTGCTTGGAGACAGGGAGGCCATCCTGGAGGGCAGTGGAACCCAGCAGAGCTGGGGGCTCCTCCAGGTTCACAAACCAGCCCATCCCAACACACAGGAAGTCAAGCAGAGCCAGCAGGCCTGTATGCACAGACATGGGGCTCTCGGTTCTACTTACCTGTGAAAAGGAAGCACACAAGAGGTGGAAGCAAGAGAGCAAGAAGGATTACAGAGAGACCCTTTGAGCATGCACAGGTAGGGCTAGGAAATCCAGTCTTCATGCCAGGGGCAGTGCGAGGGGCAGTGAGCACAGAACCAAAGTGCACGTGGCTTTGAGCAATCTGACCTGGCTGACTCCACTTGAGGCAGAAGAGGTGGATGAGATGATCTCTAGCCTCAGCCACGCTGTGATTTTTCTGAAAAAGGAACCCAAGCACTACTTCTGTACTGTCAAAGCTGGGGGAGTGATACACTTTCTGGCTGAGCAGCACAAAAAACACCACACCACTTGTAGAGCCAGTTGCATTAGCTCCACTTCCAGGGTTTTACAAACATATCAATCCCAAGAGACTTCTTACAACTGACCTCCAGGATTGCTGGTGCTTCAAACACAGAAATAGTGAGAACTGCTGAATAGAAGATCTAATGAAAATATAGAGCAGGTGTGTATCAAAATGCTGCTATATTAAGGTTATCACAGAGCTGCCCAAACAGTGCCACATCAGCGACAAGGATGGCCGTTTCTGGCTACAGCTCACTTGCAGGCACCTGAGGGTCAGCACTTCTCAGCCAGGTGGGATGGGGATTTGCCTGCTTTCATAGAGCCCATGCTCTGTGCAGGACAGCTGTTTGGCATATTGAAAGTAATGAAGACAACCTTACCTTCTACACACGTATAATGAAAAAGCTGAATATGTTACAGTGTACTTCAACAAAGCCTGGAAACAAAAAGGTGATTTTTCCTGCTGTATTAAGTATTTATGAAAGCATGCAACTTCAAAATCCACCAGCTTATTTTACTGGCCGAAGTATTAAACACTAAACAAGTCAAGCCTTTAGTTGATACAATAGGAATGTAAATTTTCTTGTACAATTCAGAAAACACTGTAAGAAGGTTAAAACCTTTACTAAAAGCAAAACATCACCCAGCAAACCAAAAACTGAGGAAGTGTGGCATGTTTGGACTCAAACTCTCAGGTGAAGAAGCATCCAGCTACAATTATCCTGCTGGTTTCAGTGGACACCATGAAATGTGCACATCTAGTTTGCTGCTTTAGAATTACACAATTATGCAGAATTATACTTGCATATATATGCAGCAATGTAAGGCTCAAACACTGAGAAAAGTTGTCAAATAATCAGTATGTCAAAAAATCAGTAAAGGATAAATCAAATCAGTTAGAAATTTCTAAAATCCTCATAGACTGCAGACCTACTGAGAAGGGTGGCACAAAGTTCTGTATTTTTGTACTCATCAAATCTGTTGGGTATTCAAGACAATTCAGTGGCACTTTACTTCCTTCAGAGAACCCACTGCAGTTCTAGATCAAGTGTTTGGAGGTCGTACAATTTTTGCACAAGTGCTATAGATTTTCTAAACAAAAACAATTCTACTCAGCTTTTAAGAGTTTTGAAAATGTTGCTGTTCAAAGTTGTCATTGGAAACAGTTTCCTCTGATTCAAAACAATGAGGTCAGTTGTAAATGTCAGCATTCAACAACTTCTGTCATTATAATTTGAGATGATTCACTCCTACATAACATTTTTTCCCCTGCAGAATGTTGCAACTATGTATGACATTTGGAGTGCATTCATTAGAACTACCTACTATCGGGTAGACTACAATATGTAACAATAGAATATCCTGAAAATAGGGGAAAAAACTGCTGCTTTAGTATACACACACAAAAAAGAACTGCTTCTTTAATATACTTTTCTTTCGTCAGTCTAAAATGATCAGATAATGCTCCAAAACCCGAGGCTTTCAACATTTTAGAAGTAACGACAATGAATTAATAGCTTTGTTTCTGGTCCCATCTTCCCTCCAATTCTGCATTGGAAGCAGTGCAACACATCTTCTGGAACACACTGCAGACATTCAGACAACAAATAGTTCTGCCTTCTCTCCCCCACTCCATTTTTGCATACTTTCGAAGAAAGGAAAGCAGCACAGCTGGAAGTTATATTATCAGTAAAGAAATTGTTGAGACTCTCTCAACATCAAGGAGTGACGTCTGTTCACAAAGACATGCTTATTGTCTATGTCATTCCAGAGACTTAAGCATACGTACTTACAAAGACACATGTATGGAAGCAGCAGCCTCTGGTACCAAGAAACTTTCCCTTCATTTTCTAAAGGAAGCATGAAGACTCACGTAATCTTAGGGCCACGAAGATGATCAGGGGACTGGAGCACCTCCCCTATGAGGACAGACTGAGGGAGCTGAGCTTGTTCAGCCTGGAGAAAAGGCAGCTGCGGGGTGACCTCATTGCAGCCTTTCAGTACCTAAAGGGAGCCTACAAACAGGAGGGGAATCAACTCTTTGAAAGGGTTGATAACAGCAGGACGAGGGGAAATGGTTTTAAGTTGAGGGAGGGGAGATTTAGGTTGGATGTTGGAGGGAAATTCTTTACAGAGAGAGTGGTGAGGCACTGGAACAGGCTGCCCAGAGAGGCTGTGGATGCCCTGTCCCTGGAAATGCTCAAGGCCAGATTGGATGGGGCCCTGGGCAGCCTGGTCTAGCATTAAATGGGGAGGTTGGTGGCCCTGCATGTGGCAGGGGGTTTGGAGATTCATGATCCTTGAGGTCCCTTCCAACCCTGGCCATTCTGTGATTCTGTGATCTTGGTTGTATCAATGTGAGTTTCTGTTTCAGGTTCAAGTTAGAATCATTATTTGTATAAAATAAAAGGATAAACTAACTTTATTGACTTAACAGCATGCCAATCATGTTATGTACCTACACTCAATGGCATTTTAGATGCTTCAGAACTGGCATGACTTGCAGCTGAGGTGGCTACATCTCCCAAATATTAGGGATACCTTAGACATAAACACCCAGTTTGAAACACTATCTACTCTGATGGTAACTAAAACAGTTATGAATTAAATGAACCCAAACCAAGAGAATTACATGGTAGTTCTAGTTCCTCAGTGCTAACTCATAATCAGCGCAGTCACATTTGCCAAATGCAATTTTATCCACCTATTCTAGTTTTTATTTCAATTTTAATTACTGTGTTTCCATGATATTGTTATATACAACCCCACAAGAGGAAATCCAGTGGCAGCTGGGAGTACTGCAGGTTATTTTTCATCATATCCAACACAAACGTCAAGGAAAGGAAGAACTCTACATTCAGTATGTGATGTGCAGTTCTCCAGCTGCCTGAAAAACCCTTCTATTGCCTCACTCTGTTGTTACACTTATGTTAGTCCAGATATTGGTCAGTGTGAAACAAACACATGAGTATTTCAACAAAGTCTGATAAAAAAAAGAAACAGTAAAAATACAGGCAAATTTTCTGCCATATGAAGTATTTACAAAGGCATATAATTTCAAAAACTACCAGTTTATTTTACTGGCCAAAGTATTAAACACTAAACAAGACAAGTCTGTAGTTTGTACAACAGGAATGTAAATTTTCATGTACAATTCAGAAGACATTTCACTGTGAGAAGGTGAAATACTACACTGCTAAAACAAAACAGTTTTTCAACAAACTGAAGAACATGAATGAGAAAGCGTGGTACATTCATTTACACTCAGACTCAGCTGAAGTCAAACACCCATAGGCTGCTGCAGCTACTTCAACAAGTTGAAGGAATATTATGAAATGCACACGACTAGTTTGCTGTCTTAGAAGTAGAATCATACAACTAACCCCCTATCAGCTACGTCTTCTCATCTCTTTTCATTAATTAATCAACTATAAACCTGAATAACATTAGCTGTTTAAATGTTACTTGTGCTTCAGTTTAAGTTAAAAAGGGACACCAACATTCACGTCTAGGCAGATCAGAAAGTCTACCAGAATGTTAATGTTAGTGCTTGAGTCTGTTCCGAGGTCCTTCTATGTCCTTGACAACAAAGGATCACTAGCTGCAGAAATCAGGACTGCTGGGAATGACCAGCCATTAGATCCTCACCCCGATTCCACACGCACCATGATTAGCTGTCTATCAGATCATCATTGCCACTGATTTTTTGCTTCTCCAGATTTTCACATAAACCATTTTAATGTTTATTTTTAATTAAAGCCCGAAGCTTATAAAAATTGGTATCAAACAAGGTCACCGTACAGGTCAGGTAACTTAGAACACCTTGACAATTTCTAACTAGAAAAATAATAGATACAAAACACTAGCAATTACATTGCTAGTTATATTTACATTGTAATTTCCCTTTGTGCTTCCAAGTTTCCAAAAGTACACATCCTTTGGTACTATTAGTCTCAAGTAACAAGTTCGTGGTAAATGCAGTTACACTCCTGAATTGTTTGATTCATGCAAAGGGCTCATCCCTTATTTTCTACATGATACCTCCACATAAGCACATCTCTTCCTCATAAATAATACAAATACTGATGACAGCAACTCTTCCATGAGAAGTTTTATGCTCAACATTTAAGAAACTGAAAGGAATACAGAGTCAGTCACACTTGTCTGAAAAGTGACTATTACAGTCGGTGATAAGAACTGCCATCCACACGTACTGCTACCATGTGACATTTGGCCCAGTTTCAAAGATTCATATATAAAACAAAATGCATCTTTACCTCAGATACTTGTAGGCATACAGAAGTATGAATACTGCAGTGTATACTAACAAAAACCACCATAACATCAAACATAACTGATGCTTCTAGTTTTAACCTTACGTATAAGTATACCTTCCTCATAACTCACAGAAGAGCACTTATATTCTTACAGTGCCATTCCCAAATGTTATACTCGTGCTGCAAGGCTCCTCTTAAAAGAGATACTTGCAGTTTTAAGTATGCTAAGCAGTAGTGAATAGTAGAATCTGGGATAGAGGATCTCTCTGTTCCCATATAGTGCATTCATAAAAAGCCAGACATCTTGGTCAGTAGCTGAACAAACAATATTTGTTAATTTGGTAAAGATGTAAACTGCATGAAGTCATAAACAACTGGAGGATAAATGCAGGAAGTCAGAGAGGAACTTTCCGACCTATTAGAAGCTGATGCAGAATAATTAGAACTCTATTTACCACTACCGTCAAATGTGAGCAGAATAAGAATTTACAGGTTGGAGAGTTAAGAAAGTAACATAGGACGTATTAGGAGCTTAAGGTACAGTACCAATACCTGCATAAAACCCCATATTTCATTTTGCCAATGTAATGATATCAATCTGTTGACAAAGTTATGCTAATACTAGGAGGTCGCTGTTGATTAGGTTGTTTGCTTAATACTGGGAGGTCTGTTCTTTCTGTTCCATAGATAAGCTTTTCCTCCTGGAGACTGCAAGCTGAGAACCTGTTTGCCTCTGTACCAGATACACCTCCACGATTATTTGCAACTGTGACACCACTGACCTGTTCAAAGGATTTACTAAAAACAGTCGTGGTAGTTCTGGCCAAACTATGGCTACCAGGTTTAGGCAGGGACTGGCTTGTTGTCAGTGTCAGTCTCTTCAAAGAGACAAGCTCTAGGTTCTCACTCAGGGCTCTCTGAGTTTGCTTTCGTGACAAGTGTTCTCTACAAGTCTCTCCTTCTTTTTCTCTTCCTGCAGCTTTGCTTCCTCCAGATCTTCGTTGGCTCTTCCCTAAAAGGTTCTTACTGCTCGTGTTGCTGCTGTTAGATAAGGCAGACTGACTTGTGCTAGAAGCAGCCCTAGAGTAAAACCCTTCATCAGTTTCAGATACTTCTATCAGTTCTTCTTCAATTCCTAAATCTGTATTTCCTGTGTGGTAAAAAAAAGAAAAAATAATAATTAACATTTGCCTTTTTCATCTATTAACTTTATGCATTACTAGACTTTGATATTTACAAGCATGAAGCCATAAAGCAACAGCATAGAGAATAGAAGACCAAAACTTACCTATTACATTTTGTAATCAAGAATCATTAGAATATAAAATTCCAGCAAATAATGCTGCGTTTAACTAGATCAAAAAGCATGCCTAAAATTTCATTCTGTAGTGATTTCAATTTAAAAAAAAATGCAGTATTGTTAATTCATGCAGATTAGAAACAGATTAGAAGATACCACACAAAAGTGCAAATCTCATTTTGAGCAAGTGCTCCAAGACAAGTTTTTGCAAAGCTCAGAAATTATAAATGATCTGTGATCAATGTCCCAGAAAACCCAGTATGGCAGCTGTTCATTCAGCAACCCAAGAGTGCTTTAGTACTGAAAGGTCACCTTCTGCACTATAGGTCACATGGCATGAGCTGGAAACTCATGCACAGTGGAACATGAAATCTCCAGTATACCACAACAAGTGGAATTTGGAATATTTTAGGTATACAGGGAGACAATTTTCACTTCCATTTTGATTGATTCTTCATAGTGTTCATCACTGGATTTTGTAAATCCAACAAATATGCTCAGGAAATTCAAGGAAATGTTGAGTCTCACAGCATACAGTCTCCAGATTAAAAATATCTTCTTGTAAGTATGTTGTCATTGTCCATGGCACAGACAAAGCTGTGTGCAGTACATGCATTTGTGTTATTACACATGCAATATATTAATTGCATACTTCAATTCTTCAAACATGCAGCAGTGATCCTTTCAATCAGTGGTACCTTAGAGTGCAGCTACAAGTGGTCTGCTAAAACTGCACTCTGCCAGATGAGTTTATTCCATCCTCCATCATTTTTCTTACAGATTTTTGCCTCCTGATTTCTGGCATGCATTTGCTGTCAGTTCTAGGATCTGTAGCTGTTTCCTGTACTCCCTGTATATGCTGAGCATCATTCTCTGCTAGTGCTCTGCTCTTTTCCCCATTCCCGGTTTTCTCTCCAGACACATTTGTGACACTAATTTCAGGTATGATAAAGTTGCCCATTTCAGTAGCATCACTACCATTCTCTGCTTGTTCTAGAATTAAAGATGGATAAGGAAAAAAAAGACAAAAATGATGCCTGAAACAAAACATGGAACAAAAAACAATAGAAACAGATGATTAAAGCATTATGAATTTAAGCAGATGTTCACACATTAACCTCTTGTTAATCAGTAATATTAGTGAGTATGAAATTCTCTTCTTAAATAGTGAGAGTCTATCTTCCAATGATCATCCTTCACCCACATACTGGGAAGTCCCACATTCAACATTTCAGTTTTGAAACACTATTTTATCTGGAGGAGATCCTCCCCCTGCTCCCACCCTGAGGATCCCTGTGCAGGCACAGTGCATTCCCAGGCAGCATGCTGCAGCCCTTGGCTCTCTGCTATCACCACTGCTGTCTGCATTCATCACAGAAGAGAAGTCAGTCCCAGACAAAGAAAGATATTCTGACAGGAATGGACATCACCATCCCTCAATTAAGAAACTATCCCTGCTTTTACCTGTCATCATTTGTTACCTTGATTCTTTCTAACTGACTAGTCAGCTACTTATGGAAGTACTTATGGAAGTGTCCATTTAACAAGTTGCACTAGCCAATGGAAATGGAATTAATAGCTGCTGTCATTAGCCACTGATTTCCTAATATTTGTCAAGAAACAAATTAAAAGTTGCAATTATTCTTCCTTCTAAGAGGTCATCCCTTCCACAGAGTTCTTTTATCAGTAACACAGAAACAGTTGCAACTGAGCACTGTGAACTGCAGCTATATTAGAATACCATTATATACAGCACTTTTTCTAGGAACACATGAGCAGAAAATTAGTGAGGAGACCATGACTCACTCATTGGTTTCAATGGTCTCATTACACAGGGGTGGGGTAGCTGTGCCTCTCCTACAGTTCCTACCCCCTGTCAGTGCCACCAGAGGCACCTTATTTCAGCAGAGCTACTTCCCAGGATCCAATGAACTCCACATGCACAAGTCTATTCTAGAAACTTCATTTACAGCTCGGAAACCAGGCTGAGGAGAGGGCAGAGAACAGAGCCTGCAGTCAGTCCCTTCTCCACTAAGAGCAGAAAAGCATTAACAAACAGCTGCTCCAGAGAAAGGAGATTCAGAATGCACCAAGTCCACAGCATAGCAGAGACTGGAGGAAAAGAAGAAGAACTTTCTACATCACACATTTGGTGATAATAGCAATAATTAATTATTGCGGTTTAGTGATGTGCATTTCTAAATGTAATGTCCTATTGTGTATCAACACTTTACCATCGCTGCTGCATTCCCACAGCTGTGTAACTACTACAGTTAAAATAAAAATAGGTCTTAGCATAATCACGTTTAGTCTTCTAGTTAAGTTCTCTTAACTATTTTCTGATAAAGGGGAATGTACCTTCCTGAGTTTAACACTGAACTACAGGAGGAAATTAATAAAAATAGACTGTTAACATTATAGTACCTACTGTCCTGTGGCAGCAACACGATCCATGTCTCCTACAGCAGCACTCCATACTTCTACCTTAATTTTATATATGTATATATATATACATACAGATATATATCTGTATGTATGTATATTTAAGAACACCTAAAACAAACCTTCAGGTTCATAGCATTTGGCTTTTGAAGATAATACTGCTTCGAACTGGACAACACTACAGGTCTGCCCTTTGAAGAAGATCTCAATATCCCATGCACAAGGCAATGTAGCAAAAGAGAAACAAAGTGCAAAACTGGCCTTATAGACAAAACTGAATAGTTACACTGATTTGAAAGGTAACAGAGATATGCTGTAGCATTTGTAGGAAACACATTTGAGTTTTTCCCAACAGCTCTTTGTGAAGAAGTTGGAGAGATCTCAGATTTAGATTACTAAGAAAAGCATTGCTAGCAGATGCCTTTTTTCTTTTTTGCCCTAGCTTCTGTAAATAACATTTCAGTGTTTATAAGGTACATAAACTGCGTGATTTCTCTGCTTTGCCTCTATTTGTGAATGGAAACATGGATGCCACTCAAACAGTTTTTTTTTTTAAACACTAACACAGAGGCATGAAAAACTAACATTAGATCAAATTTCCTTTAAGCTGTACGACTCAAGTCAAGCCAACCCAATGCAGTAGCTCCAAGTAATCTGTTGGTAAGTGGTGGCTAATATCAATTAGCTCTAAATCCTATTAATGAGTGAGTAATGGGTCCATTTTGCAAATGACTTTTGCACTTAGTACCTCTGTCAGAAGCCCAAATCAAGGATACCAACTTGAATTAAAAACAAAAGTCCTTCTCAGTAACAAGAATTACAATCTTGTTAAGTATCACAACAAATTTACAAATTAAGTTGATCTTTTCCCAAAAGAGACTTCAATCTACAGTTCTAACAGAAGCTAGCAAGACACAGTGTCCCAGAACTTCATAAATAAACTGTTATTTTTAATAAAATAACAATAAAAACAACCCACATGCTTCTCAATCAGAAATGTGATCAGCTGAGATTCTTTCGTTTTTTATTCTATACAAATAGACAGATCTAAAATTGTTGCCCTTGCAGCCTAAGGGATATTTTGCTTTATGAGTTCTCGTGGTCCACATAATGCATAAGAAAGTACCTCTCAGCTGCCTCCTCTAGCTTCCGAATCTATTTGTGTAACTCATTTTGTATCAAACACAAAAGTAAAATCTCTGAATTGATTCTTTCCTTCTCTCTGTGGCAGAGAGCAGTGGGTCAAGGAGGTACAAGGTTTTTCGGCCTATTTCTACCAGCTCCAGTATTCATTTTAATGCAAACAAGCATCTGTAAGCTTCATTATTCTTTCTGTACACCTACCCTGAAGATCTATTCCACATCTTTCATAGGGGATTGTGGGACACTGAATTTTATGAGGAATTGTGAAATCTGGAGACATTTCATTCTGATTTTAAAGGCTTCTGTTCCAATCATAAACAACAGGGTGTTTTGTTTTAGAATTTTCTAATGAAGTTTTTGAGTAGCTTAGCTCAAGTGCTACATATTTGAAACACTTGCCGTATAAACCAAAAAGATTTTGCTGATCAGTCAGAAATACAGTCCTTCTTTACAAATCCTTCTTTAAATCCTGTACCACTAGACCAATACAAAGTTTTTTCAATAACCCAAATAGAAAGATGACAAGAGTTTGGTAGTGGAAGTCCTCAGTGTTCCTTGATCTTCAGTCCTTGTCCTAAATACTCACTACTTCTCACTTCTGTCATACTAACTAGATTACCACTGTTTGTCTTTTCCTGCTCTCTTCCCCCCATTTCTACAAATCCTACTTGTATTCTTACTTCCCTTCCACCTTACTGCTATCGGTTACAGTGAACATTTGTCCCACCATTGGTTCTTGACTTTCTCTCAGTATTGGACCTCCAAGAAGAAATATTTGTAAAAACTTTCACATTCTTGTATTTGCTGAAAAAGTTGAATTTCCATTAGGATAATTTTATATTTCATTTTCTTCTGTAAATGCAAGAGCAAAGAAAACTTTGTTTTAACACTTCCAATTCTTCTGAATGAGTAAACACTCAGTATCCCTGATCTGTATTCCCATTTATTTTGAAAATAACAGCAAAACTGCCAAGCTTTAGAGGACGTCTGCATTTAGAAGCCATTATTATATAGTATCCTGACACCAGGTCAATATTCCCTCCTCAAAAATTTTAAGCAGGAAGAAAGGAAAATAAACAATAAAGGCTAAAATGTTCCTTAGCAGTCTTGAAATCTCAGAAATGATCTACACTCATACTACTGAACCACACTCATATCAAAGACACTAATGTTCAGCTCCTCGTCTTTGCCTACCAGTTTAAGTTAATAAATCAAGCATTTTATTTAAATGAAAAGAACTTTAACTATTTTAACTTCCTTCCTCACATTCAAAAGCTTACTACTGGAACTAACACCAGCATGTCTCATCACTGTTCAGAAATCTTTATTGTTATTTTTAAGCCCTCTTTTATCAGAATATTTATAATCTTCAACAGCTACCTGAAATATCCCCACGTGGAACATTGTTGTTCTTGTGGTTTTTTAGTAACACAGATCTTTGCAATAATTTTTTGAACTGAACTTTATATATACTACAAAAAAGTTCATATAGCACACATCATATAAAAATCATCATGATACTGTTTTAAAGTCTTTATTTAGCCTATTAAAAGAACACTTATCTACACTGACTCCTCCCTTTCATCAGAATTACAAACACAGCACAGCAAGCCACTGGAAGTTTTGATCTCTTGTTCAGCAGCTCTTCCCCCACCTGAATCTGGTAGAGAAAGTGGAATACATTGATAGTCCTTTTGCAGTATATTCAGCACCATTTTTTTCTACTCCTCAGCATTGACATGTGCTTCACTTTGTTGAAGCTCTTATACTATTTCACCTCAAAAGTAATAATTTACCCCCTCTAGCCTTAAATATTGTTTTTATTTAGATAACTTAAAACAAATGAAGCACTGTAGCATATTTATTAAATATCTGCTTTGCTTCAGGTATCATACACTACTTATCAGAAAAGAACAGGAACATAAATCTCTTGAAAGAATTAAAAACGTTGTACAGCAGCCTTTAACAAAAAGGTGTTTCATTAAAAGAAAAAAAATAGGATTGAGGAAATAGAGAATACACTTTCTGATCTACTAAGTTTCTCATTTACCAGTTATCAAACTGCCAGCCACTTGCTTATCAGCAGCAGCAGAACAGCACCAATGTCCAACTATGACATGTTTCATCTAGTATATAGCATCTTTGCACTGTTCCAGACCCACATTAATAATGTAAGTTTAAGAGAAATCATATAATTTTAAGAATAAATGTACAGTGTCAGTTCACTAAAGGCATTCTCATTAACAATGACAATGCACACAGACAAAACCCTATTCTAAACAGGTGTAAGAAGCTAAGAAACCATTGCAAATTGTGCCTCTTACCGTGTCTTTTCCATCTGTGCCCTCGGATAGACATGCTAGTCACAGCATTTCTTGATATCCTGGATGAAGTAGGTGTAATTTCAACCTGAATGCATTTTGTACCTTCTTTATTAGACTTCATGGCACCCTGAGGCAGTGAAGCTTTTATTGCATTAGCAACCTAGAGCAAGGAAAAATGCAGTTAAGGCTTGTATCAGGAATGGTGTGGTAAGCAGGACTAGGGAAGTAATCATGGCCCTGTACTCAGCACTGGTGAGGCCTCACCTCGAGTACTGTGTTCAGTTTTGGGCATTACAAAACAAAAAAGGACACTGAGGTGGTGGAGCAGGTCCAAAGAAGGGCAACAAGGCTTGTGAAGGGCTTAGAGAATATGCCCTACGAGGAGCAACTGAAGGAACTGGGGCTGTTTAGTCTGAGGCAGAGGAGGCTGAGGGGAGACCTCATTCTTTTCTTCCAATATCTGAAAGGTGCTGGTCTCCCCACTGGTGACAGGACAAGAGGAAATGGCCACAAGTTGTGTCAGGGGAGGTTTAGGCTGGATATCAGGAAACAACTTCTTCACAGAAAGGGTTATTAAGCACTGGAATAGGCTCCCCAAGGAAGTGGTTGAGTCACAATTCCTGGATGTGTTTAAAAACCATTTGGATGTGGTGCTCAGGGACATGATCTAGCAGAAGGTTGTTAGAGTTAGGGTAGAATGGTTACATTGCAGTTGGACTTTAAGGTCTTTTCCAACCTGAGCAATTCTATGATTCTATGAAGTTTTTAACATGAACGTTGAAATTTTAGAAAATAATTATGTCACTACTAAGGATCCTTAGTAGTCCATAAAGGTTATTGCATACAACTCCAATTTAAGGTCAAGTAAGCACACTAGCATTTTGCACAAGTTATAAAGAATGTGTGGTGCAATTAGCTTTTAGAATTAATTTGTATTTAAGATCTGTCACTATTTAAAGCAGAGTCTTCAGTTTAATGACTATATGACTTAACATTAACTCCAGAGTGCTTCTGCACTATCATTACACTTTCAAGTCTTAGAAGTGTTCTACTGTAAACCACTTATTCATTTGGGAAGATGATAAAATAACTAAGCACACTGAAAATGTGTGTATATATCCTTACAGATCTAGCTACTCAAACAAGCAAGACACATAGACCTCCCGAGATTTAGGTTCCTCACGTGATGTTCACTGAAAGTATTTACTGAACTAAAAACTCTACTTAAAAAATGTTGGACTACATCACCTACCAGCAGAGGTTCAGGATACAGTTCCAGCTGTGCTCTATACAAAATGTCATCCATAGCTTTACGAGCCAGATCCCATTCTCCATTATAACTGCAAAGTTAAACATATACTTAATAGTAAGCACCTTTATCAATGGATGAACCTTCCTGGTCATGACTTTCAAGAAATTAGTGTCCCTTGGGAGCTCAACAGAGAGTTAAACTACTTGTGCTTATTATCAGTAAGCCTGCTACTTAAAAATTTTGTTCTGAATTAGTGCATATGGAGGCACTAGTTTTATTTTCATTGAACACTCTGAGCAGTTTAAAAGTAACATTGCTAGTTATTGATCAGCTAGTAATAAAATATTCTGAAATTCCAATAGGATGGTCTTAATATTAAACCACCTTTTGAATACCCCCATGTTACTAGTTTCTGATTATTTCAGTTAATGAAAGAGCTTTACGCATCAACATGACTATCAAAGAGTGGATGACACTCAACATTTTAGAGAAAGAATGCTAAGGCTTTTTTCCTTAACTAGATTGATGTCAAAAATGTGGACATCAGGCAAAAGTTGGAAAAGGTTTTTCGGTTATTCTTTCACACCATCAGTTATGACTGTTAAGTGTTATTCTAGCCTTCATTCCCCAGTATCACACAGGTAATGTCATCTAACAAGTTGGTGAACTGTGTTCTAATCCTGAAGTCTTCATTGCCACACCCAGCATCTGTCCATTAGAAAATAAAACAGTTCAAAAGTAGCATGCCTAAATGAACATATAAGTTAAGCTAGTGCTTCTTTATTTTGTGTGAATATTAAAGAAAAAAACTCTCACTTACAAGGCATAATAAATCCCTGTTAGCATTTGCACCATGAATTCAGATGAAACTGGAATCCTGCTGTTTACTCCCTTATACTTTCTCACTTGTTGGCGAGGATATCCACAGACACAAATTCTAAAGAAATAATGCATTTGTCACTAGTAAATAATGAAGAACCACCTTTGTATAGAACACCACTAAAATAGATGTTTGGTGTGTGTTTTAACAACAGTAGACCCAAGGACAGCGTTCAATACTGAATAACACTCAACAACTGAGTGCTAAAGCAGATTATTTCTCAGTATGGAAGAAGGGTATGCCCTCTACTGGCAGTGTTCAAATCCTTCAAAATAAAGATACCCTAGATGGTAACGTTACATTTATACCACAGTTGAACATTCAAAACTGCCATTAAAGTCATTCTCAATTAAAAGTATTTACTGCAGGGTAGACAAAAATATTAATGGTATTTGAGGAAATGAAGCAGAAAAAAAAAGTATGAAACTAGCACACAAATTTCAAGCAAAGAGACTAAGAATCATATTTTAAAAAATCATTCTAAACTCCAGTAGAAGTCAGCACTTGAATTTAATTCTGATCCAAATTCCACATCAGATTTTGTAGTCCAAAGATTCTGGAAATCAAAGATATTGTGTAGTTAAATATTCGATTTATTAACTATTACTTCCAGACTTAGGCAGACTTAAGGAATGACCTTCTATGACATTAATCAAAGAATTTCCTTCTTCATAGCACAGAAAGTTTCTATTTCAGAAAGCTTCAATTCTTCAGCTTCATTACTATCAGAGAGCTCCTAAAACACTTCTTTAAAACTCATTTATGGCCCCCAGCAAAAAACAGATTAAGGTTGTATTGCTTCTTAATGTTCAAATTACAGCTGTTACAGAGCTTTTGGACTTTTTTTTTTTTTAATGAGTAACAACTTTGCCACTAACTTACTATGCTTTTTTTCTTCTCTATTCTGCAATGCATCTTCTGCTAAGACTAATTCAAAACAGAACAAAACAAGAAAAAACAAGTACCCATTACTCATTTGTTTTTCTGGATGTTTCTGTTTGTTTACTTGTATGAGGAATCTAGAACCTCAGAGCTACTAGAGGTAAACAGCTGCTCTGGGTCTCCTCGGCTGCCTGGGTTAACAAGAATGCTCTAATTTCTTTGATTCAGTGTCAACTTCCAAAATTCCAGAGAGACAAGTTCACTAGCAGCTCTTTCTCTTTAAAAAAAAAAAAAAAGAGATAAAAAAAGATAAATGCCTTTGTCTTTTTAGTTGTTGTTATACCAGATTTAGGGAATATGCAAAACATCTGTAGGAACGAGCATATTTCTAGCTTTAGTAACTACTATATTTTCAATTGAGTTTCAACTTGTACAGCATCCAAATGTTTAGTAAGCATGCAGTGCAAAGTTAACCAAGATTTTAGAAAACATTTCTGAATTACTTGGATAAAAAACCTAGAACTACTTCAATAAAAACATAATTCCTTGGATTTGACTTCTTACTCCAGTTTACAGCACTGCTTATAAACCAGGTCATTGCTTCTCCAATTCTGAGATCTCAGTCCACAGTTAATTTAGAGATACTTTAAGTAATGCAGCTATAAGCACTTAAAAAAAAAAAAATCAAGTTTACAAGCAACTTTTGGGAATGAAAGGACTTTTTTTGTTACTGTTTGCTAAGTTCAAACAAATTGCATTTCAACTTGATAACATTTCAAGTATAATCAACCCACAGAAGTTACCTTGAGCAAATCTGACACAATGACTGAAGAGAAATTGCAGGCATGTAGCTTAAGGCAGCATTGTAGCAGAGCAGAAGGAAAGTCAACACTTCAAACCTGGAGTTTACAGAAAACAACAGAGTATATTACCAATTTTACGTTTGTTTGTTTTTTTTTTTAACAAGTAAAACTGTTTCACAGAGAAATTTCAAGGGTTACTTGAACAAACTTGGTTTAATTCAATAAGATTATTGATCAATGACTTGGGACTGCAAGCCTTTCCTTTTCCTATGCATCCTGCATCTAAATTTAACATACGTAGAAAAACAAATGTAAGAAAAACCAGCACACACTCATGCACCTTCTGTCTATAATCATTAAAAATTCCTAGAAGATTCTTAAACGATTATCAAGATAAATCCTATTATACAATTTCACCTGTTCTGTGCTGTCAACATCTCCCTCTGAGGATGAGGTCCACTGTACACAACCCTGGACAGACCATGCTGGGATAAAGCTCCTTCAGTAAGAGCCATGGAGCCAATACTGGAAGGCTACGGGGTAAAAAGAAAAAATTAAAACACATCCAACCTGAAGTCTTGCTACAATGCAAGTAAAAATAGACGAGAGATCAGCATCATCATATTTCTACATCAGTTTTATCTGAATGCCTAGATACCTTAGACTTAAGAAATCACTTCACAGCAGATAAAATATAAGGTTTCAGAACAGGAAAAAATACAGTTGGTACATGCATATCACTGAGTTACGACTACTGAGTCTTCAAAAGGCCCCAAAGACCAGTTAGCAGCAAAGAGTAGACTGAGAAACGTGTTACGAGGTCATGCAAAATGCAAAGACTAATTTTCACTTTCATTCTTCACTCACAGGCCCCAAAATCACACTGCCTTTCACAATCAGTGCAACTTTATGGTGTAAGTGTCACTTACTTCATGATATACTGAAGGTTTGGACAAAGATGGAATAGTGAAACTCAGCACTTTGCTGTGTCCTTCTTTGTCAACTATCTCCTGAAAAAGGCAGAAGACAACAAGACACCAAGGGTTATACTGTCTGTTCTACAGAAACCAGACAGAAGATAACTTCCTGTAGTGTATCACTGGAGTGGAACACTGGCAGGCCTCTCGCATCTGTAAGTTAGCAGAAAGCTAATGAGTTAGGCAAACAAACAACAAAAAAGGGACCACATATCACAGAAGAGCACTGAAGTACTCTGGATCAAAACCTTTAGCAACAACTTCTGAAGCAGTCCTTACCAAAACCACAAGCCTTTAATTTTAAATTTCAGCAGCAAATTTCACTTATCCAGAGGCAGAGATTAGAAAGGAGTTTCAGCGAAGCCTTTCCTAGCATAGACTAATTGCATTTTGCCTGTAACAGCTAAAATATGATTCTTTTCAAGGTTCCCTCAGAATTCTGTTTTTCAAAGGATTAATTTAACAGCAAACAGTATATTTTCATGCAAAACATACAAAAAAGTCAAGGTTATTACAAAATGAAAGACTTATTTTCTCAAGAGTGAGCAATCTGTTCAACAATCAAGTACTAAGAATCTGTTGAAAGTGCCTTTATGCATGATCTCTAGCCAAGATGGTCAGAATACCACAGAAAGCATAGGCAACAACTTCAAATGTAGCACCTACAAAGGCTCTCAAGCAAAATGCAAATTTAATTGCCATACCAAGAATTAATGAAAGCAAGAACAGAAGAGGAACCCTTTTCACGTTCACATTACAGATTTCCAACTTGAACATAAATTTAGAGAGAAAAGTATGACACTCAATCACTTGTTTTCAGTTCTGAAATAAGAGAGCTTACCCGTTCTCCATAAACACTTTACAGTATCCCCTTAAGAGGACACAAATATTTTTAGACCTGAATAATTAGGTGTAAATACAAACCAAGTTATACACTCCTAGAAGAAGGGCTTCTATACATCCACTGCTTTGCAAATCTCTGCTGGCTGAGACAGCAAGGTAGCACCACATCAGTTCGGGCAGAAACTGCAGTGTGAATCGTAGTAATTGCTCCTCACCACTGCGATAGAACTCAAAGAGCTGATGGCAGACTGGCTCCAGAAGCTGAAATTACAATGAGGTTACAATTGTTAATGAGTAAAAAAATTACAAGAAACTGCAACTTTGTGTAGAAACATAACCAGTCAGTAGGGGAAAAGCTGATAGATGTTCCACTGTAGCTACCTGGGAGTGATCAGCCTGCTAATTACCCAGTCACTTTGTGCAATTTCAGGCTTCTACACTTTAGATGATACAAGTGGAGTCTTCCATCACAACAGAAATACTGTTGCAACAGCTTCATCTCCTTTTTTAGCTCATTTGCTCTAACCTCACCGGCTTAAGTAGAGGATGCTTACTATCGCAATAGTAATCAATACATCATCTACATGGAAAAAAAAACCAGTCCAAAAGGCCTTGTTATTCTAGAGCTCCAACAACGAACACACAAAAGTCTAAAGATTTTACTCTGCAACTGAGAAGAGCTACAGGACACTTGTATTCACAGTACTACAACAACTTACTGTACAGTAGATCAACTAAATCCTTCCATTCTTCCAGACGCTTCAATGTATTCATAGGGTGTTAAGACAAAAAAAAAAAAAAAAGCCTCCACTAAAGATCGATATACAGTGTTAACTATGTGTCACTACATGGAGGTAAAGATTGTCCACAACAGTAGATGCTTTCAAAGTGAGCAGAACTGGATGCTGAGGCCTCAGTCAATACAAAAATCAAAAAGTTTTTGACAGCAAACATAGCAAACTGCTCATAAGAATTTGCAACTGTTATAGGATTTGTTCTTTATGCTCCTCAAAATGCCCCTTAAAAAATGGAATTGGGTTTAAAAAAAAAAAAGTCTAACTAAACATTGTAAATCAAGTGTTTTTAAGCAGTTACAAATAGCAGAAACTACTCCTTTAAAAGAATCTAGGTAGTAGTTGCACTTGTACTTGCAAATTTTACAAACTGAAATCTGAGATTCCAGCTTTTTAGAATTCAACTCCTCAACTTCAGCTAGCATATTAAAAATCATTACACAAAATGTGACATTCTCCAACTGCAAATCTCAAAAGACTGGATTTAAATGCAACACATCTGAAGGATTAGTTTTACTGCTTTGTTTCTTACCTCGGAGGCTTAACATCTCTCAATGGTTCATTTATATGACTCACAGAAACAGACTCTAAATTAATTTAAATACCAGGAATGTTAAGGATAGTAATAGATTGAAATGTGTTCCTACACAAAAATCCCCAGAAGTTTCAACCTGAAAGTGACAGAATGAAAATCAAACAGGCTAGTCTCTAAAATGCGTATCTAAGACACTGTAATCACGAGAATTGCCACTGCACTTGAGAAAGGAAGGCACTATCCAGCATCTTCCTGAAAATTCTTAGATTGTGATACATGTACAGACATGTACAGATATAAAGTACAGATATGTACTTTATTGTCAGTAACATGCAGATCATGTTTTCCATTCATTTAGCTCAGAAAATTGTGAAAACCTAAGGCAAAAAAGCATACCAAGCTCAACTAGTCTCTTCCTGAAGCTGATTAGCAAAGATCCTTCTAGAAGACTTTACCAGCACAAGTGCTTTCCATCTTCAGCTTACATATTTCACAAAATTTGCATGCTTCCTTTAATGAAGTATCAGTTCAGAATGATGTGCTTGAACTTTGGAAGGCACAGAAATAGCTCTGACAGGTATCCACGTTCACATCGTTATCTCAGTTGAGACAGCTTTGTATCAGCACGTTTCAATGCATAATCAGTACAAAAACAGATATTCTTTCTTGAAATGCCACCACATGCTAAAACCTAATATCAAAACACACGAGTTGTTGCTGTTCCAAGATAATGTTTTCACACTAAACCAGTTCTAAAAAGTATGAAAACTTCTAATGCCGGAACAGAAGAACACTGAAGTAATTTCATCCCTCCTCCTTTGAAGTTGTATCCAGACACGTTGGACATTTTAATTCACAATTTTGAGTACTTATGTTTCCTAATGCAAATACCTGAATGGCTGCTATCTGAAAGGACAGCAGTACAGCTCTAGGTACACAATAAACAATCTCAAATTTGTGAAGAAACAAAATCTTTCAGAAAAAAAGCTTGCCACTGAATTTCTTGAGTGACTGCTCAGTTAAAAGGCCTTTAAATATTCACATCTACTGAAGACTCTTCTACTGAATTATATTTTCCACACTAGAGGGACAGTAACCTCGAAATAACCAATAAAGCCTTTGCCAACAAAGCTATTATGAAACTGCTATTTCTCAGTACAGCAAACACTAGTAGTTCATTTCTCTCAACAAATGCTACATTTTCAGAAATGCAAACAAGGTATATGAAAGGCAAATATACAATGCAGGTGATAAATCTCAAAAACAGAAAGAATTTGCTTGCTTTTTTAAATTGCTAGTTTAGAAGTATTTCCTCTATGTGGAAAGCTCCAGGTACCCCATTCCACAAAGTTTCAGGCAGTAAGAATGGCACAAATAAAAATTTTAGGAGCACTGTCAGCACTGGCATTTCAATTTCAAGATTCAGTTAACAGGGGAATCTTAATTATCCCCTCCCAAAATTATCTTTTTGAGCAGGATTTTCAAGGCTTAGCAACCATCTTGCAAAAGTCCGTGACAAAACTAGTGATAGCCATCAGTAGTAATGAATTACAGAACATGAAAGTATCAGTTTGGCTATCAACAGGGAGACTCATCGCAGTAATTTACACATTGATATGCATTCTGAAGACCAGGCAAGCTTGACTCAGTATTTGGAATGACTCAGAACGCTTTCCTGAGCAGCACAGAAAAGTGAAATGACATTTCTTCTCTGCTGTACAACCTGTATTTCTGTACCAGCATTCTCTCCAAAAAATGTACGAACACTGGAAGCATTTTACCCTGTGCCCACCATTGGCATTATCTCAATTTTGGAGAGGCTCCTTATGTTGCACCTTTTCCAGAAGAGGCATAAGAACTCCATGTAGTTTCAAAAACAGTAATACACAAAGGTTTGTTGGATGGGAGAGAGTGTGACCAGATACAGCTAACACCAATTCAGGATGTTCTGTTCTCACTTAGACATTTCAAGAGAAGCACAGTCATGGTGCATGAACCATTCTTTACATGGGCACAGTGCAAACCTGCCCCATTCCACCTCAAAATTTCTAAGGAATTGACAGATCAGTGCTGAAGTGATGGAAGAAAGGCATAAAGCCCTAAATCAAATCCAAAGCAATAATATGAAAGGAATGCAAAACTATCTAACATTATCTCTTGTCATATAAACAAACAAGCTTCTGGTAGCTACAGATTCATATTCAAGTTATGATGAATCACAAAAATAATTCAGTCAAACATCTTTTCAATTCCTTAACATATTTCTCATTCCCATGCATGGATCCTGATTACGATCTACAAGATCAGTTACAATCAGCAAGTAAGAAACAAATCTACAGATAGTGTTCATAGTACTATATTCTTGCTAAGAACACATTCCATAACATTAAAAGGGAAACATTGTGATGAAGACTCTTCATGTAGTTCACGTAGTTAGAACAGAATTAACTATTTCACAGCATGCAAGGTTTTACTCTATTTTGCTGGTGTTATATCAGTCATTATGAGAGACACAATTCACTCACTTCACTTTGTGGCTCCTGAATTACTCTGTAAAGAGATGAAATCAGAGCACTCTTGTCTTTCAGGTTTGTAGCATAGCTGGATATGGATGCTTCTGGCAGTGTCTGAAAAACATATAGATATCTATTTTAGTTAGAAAAAATAAGGTTTGATCATTAAAATGTAGCAGCTATTTCAACAACTGTTTTCCATTAGAAGTTACTATTTATCAGAGTTTACAGTGAACTAAAACTTGTTTCATAAGGAAATCCTTGCTATAGTAATCATCATTTTTCACAGCAGCAAGGTTGGCAGAAGACACATAGCACTATCAGTTAGCAGACAGCTTCTTTAAGAGATTAATGACATTCAATGGGAAATCGTTTAAAAAAAAAAAAGGGGGGGGAGTTTCAGAAGTGCAGTGCCACTGAAAATACATAATGTTCTGAAACCAGAAAAAAATTGCAATGCACTTCCCACTCTTTGCTGGTGTCAGTGACAACACATGCCCACTGTGAAATTTAAATACTGTGAAAGCTCGCTGTTTGCAGACCTGTGCTTTACTGTCAAGACTGACAGTACACAGACTGTAAATGTTATTACAGGATACATCATTACCTGAAAGAACATAAACTCAGGTTGACATGAACAGCTAACCTTTAATATAAATGGGTTTCCTTAGAGTACTTAAGAGGTTAAAAAGCTAATCTTTTTGGCAATCCTTTGGAAGTTGTACATCTAAACTTATTATTCATAGCTCCTACAGTACTACTTTTCTGCAGTCCTTCAAAGGAAATCATATTCCATTATAAAGACAGGAAAACAGAGTGTATCTAGCTAGACCAGGACAAAAATCTGTACTCAAATAAGTCCCAGCCTATACTCAGACCAGCAAGATTGCACCACACTGTTGATATCAGGAGGAGAAACAAAAAACAGAACAAAAAGCCAGTAGCAAGGCTTGAAAATATATCCAGCAGAATTTCACAAATGCCAGCTAGCAGTTTCTGGGGTTTAGGTTGTGCGTGCGCATCCAACTTTCAATTTCTGTTATAAAAAGTTTCCATTTATTCAGTAGCAGGACTACTGAACACTATGCTGAGGACTTGCAGGACATTTCAACAATAGCAAGAGCCATCCAAGAAGTTATTCAAGACAAAGTCTAACACAAAGAAATAAGGCTGATCTAGAATCCACTTGGGTCCAAAATGGAGGTACACTGCTTTTTCTTCTAGTCACAACATTCTTAACACCTTCAATTTCAGCATCTTACTGATACAAACACAGCATGTGAATCTTCCAGTCAGGGTGTTTCAATAACACAGTTTGACCATGATTACAAGGTATGGTTTAGTAAACTAGTGTTATAATCCTAAGCTTTTCTTTCTAGTGATTAAGCTTGCAAAAGTATTGAGCTTTGTTACAAAGCAATGTTACAAAGACATGTTCCACTTTTTGGTTGTTAGCAAACCAGAGAGTACAACTTAATAAAAGGGAGCTGTATGATTCATCCCTCTCTGAAGGTAGGGACTATTAGCTGTGCCACAAAATTCCTATCAAGTTTCTAAACAGAAAACACTGAATCAGAATATTGTAAGAAGGATGCTACTTCCACTTGCAACGTTCTTTCAAGTTACATAAACATTACACACTGATAAAGCACTGGGCAAGCTTGACAAACTTGTTCTGAAGCAACAGAAAATCTTAGCTTTGTAACAGAAGATACAGATAAGCTAGTTTTAACGAAGCCAGTGTTTCTATCTGCTGTTGTGTTTGCCAGATAAAGGCCTGAGGACATAGAAAACTGACAATTCTTTACTTCAAAGTTGTCTTTACTGCTGGTAGAGCAAACACTCTGGAAATAAACAACACTGAAGGAAAAAAAAAAAAAAAAAGTTGTGGCTTTACTTGTTAAACCCAAACATTTTTTCCTGTGGTAAAGACAGAAAGAGATAATGCATGATATCCACTTCCTGCTTTCAGATGTTTCCTTCCATAGCATTTGCCCCTCTCAGAGTCAGAATCGACCTCACATACTGACAGCACAATGGCTGAGGAATACCATCTGCAAGGAACAGACCTGGACATCTAACTGTAAATAAGTGCTCTGAATGGAAAAAAATAAGCAATCAGAACTACAGCACATGACGGAAGTTCAGCAAGTTCAACAGGTAAAGTGATCAGCAGCCATCACAGCAACTATCACAAAGCACTGAATTTCTAATAATAAAACTTAAAGAAGCTAGACCAGAAAGAATGAGCATGAATAACTCACTCGTGTAGTCCATACCAAGGTAAATGAGAGAAAAAAATTGAAAGCCTGAGATTTGGGGTACAACATTATAGCCTGCAGTACATTTTTTGCCATAGACCACTGAAGATTATTTCCTGGATCAGGAAGCAGGCAATCCCAAAGAAGACAATGAAAACAAGATATCTTTCAAGTCGATAGTTGTATACATTAGATTACCTTAAAATCCAAGGTTGCTAATCATCTTCATTTTCTACAGCAGTCACACACTCCTGCATACCACTCCAGCAGCAATTCAGATACCACTGGTTAACTATCTGATGGTGTATTATTATTACCTTGAACTCCGATAACCATTCCTCCACAAGCCCAGTATCCACAGCTAACATCTTCCAACATCCGTTCCAAAACCTTCAGCCTGAAAGAATATGCAAACAGTTTGTAAGAACTCTGCAATCACTGCATTAAATACATGATTAGATTAAGTTTCTGCGAATATTTAAAGAATCTTATCATGCTTTTACTCATTAACATTTCACATGCTGACATACTTTGAACTTTTATTCCACTTCGCTTTTGCGAGCTGCTGGAAGGATTAAGCATGAGTCGTCATCTACAGCAGCTTAATAAATTCCAAATATGTACTGTGTGGGAAGTGTAACAAGTCAAAGATTTGTAGAAGGGGCATTCTGAAAACAAAATATTACCTTCTTAATTTCTATTTATTTTTCAGCTTACAGAAAGAGAGAAAACTATACAAACTCGCTGAATAGAAATTACTGTTCAAGCTTCTTCTAGACAACTGTTTTCTTAACTTGGAGAAGGACACCAAAAGAATGATGAAAACCTTTCAATCCACCTCTATCACCACAGCTGAAAGACAAGACAACGAGCCTGCAGCCTCAGCATGAAGGCCAAGGTAGAATTCCTTGCCTAATTCCTCAGTCAGAGCAAGACCAGTGGTACTCAGACGAATACAAAAGATGCAGAGTGGCTTCTGAAACTCATCCCTTTTTTCCCTTAATGTATTTAAAAAACATCTTACAACAACTGTTCTTTGGAACAGTTTATTCTGAAGCTAAGGGCAGCATACCATTAAGATAAAAAACTACTAAAAGCTAAAAGCATGCTATGGAGGATGCCCTAGGCATATGTACATTATTCTACATTAACTTACCAAATTGAGATCGTGTATTTCAAGCAATGACAAATACTCATCTCAGGAGAAAATTAACAGTTACTTGAAGAAACATTCAGACATGAGATACCTTATCAGACTCTTCCAGTTTAAAATTAATTAAGTTCTGATATTCGAGCATGGGCATATATGAGAAGTTACAAACAAGGAAAGAGGGGAAGAATTGTCTCATAACATAAATAATTTCAAGAATTTAATTAAGAAAAGAACCGGGCATGATAATGGTGAGAGCTGTAGAGCTGTAAACCCTCCAGAAAAAGGAGGAAAAAGTTGCTTATGAAAGGTTTCACTTTAAAAGAAGTACTTCAGTACTTTTAAGGTTGGTAAGAGAATAACTATCCAACATGCACTGCAAAAGTAGTAAGACTGGACAGGCTATCTAGAAACTTCTTGCATCACATTCATACAAAACAACAGCACAGATTATGCCAAAGGAAGGGGAGAAGGCAAGGAGGGGAACAGATGAGCAGCTTAATCATTAGTTGAAGTCACGAGTTCTTAACGATCTAAATTTCAATAAAGAGGCACAATGAAAATGAGATCCATTTTAAATGACCATGAGGTGCAGCTATGATCTCTATGAACCCGCATTAGAAAGACCCAATGCATACCACAAAACCCACTAAGAACACAGTTCCTTCCTTCTCTCATTTAGAGAAGAAACTCTTCTGGAAGAAAACGTAAGAAAGGTTTGTTTCTGGTTTTGAAACTAGTCAGGTTTGGGTTTTGCTTTCTCTTTTAAGTGATGACTGAAAAACAGTTCATTGTAGTCAGAAAACTGACACAGCTAGCACAAGCAAAAAATAAGAACTCACAGCATTACTGGGAAAGAATTTAACCTAGTAAATCCACAGCCTGGTCAGGGAATGAAACCTAAACTCTTTGGGAAAACAGCTAGTGCAGCTAGCTGCTCCAGAAAGACATGAAAGGAAATCACAAAGGAAACTCACCTAGCTAAATATCAGCTCTTTCTGACCAGCTCTGATGACCTCTAAAGGTGTTATGAAGATATGGATTAGTAGCCTCTGAATTGAATCAGGTTTCTGTGCCAAACCCTGATGCAAAAGCGTAGCTTTCATGATAACACCACTGTGTGCTAACAAACACAAAGGCTAGACCGACTGCAATTACTGAACCAACAGCCTCATCATTTCCTACAGTCACACCTGCCAGCCCTTCTTTTATTCCTGAAGGCAGACAAAGGCTTCTGCAATGCCTTATGTTTCAGCAGGGCTGGCAGTAGTAACCATTCTTTTCTGAGCCTCATCTATAGCATAAATGCTTGCACTAATATAGACTTCTGCAAGTCCTGGATACTCTAGTTCATAGCTGACACCAAGTTTATGGTTTATTACACATGCAGTATATAATTTTGTTTTTTACCTATTTAAGTTGATCTACCAAATGTTCTTTTCAGACTAAAGACTTCCAGAGAACACAAAATTTGACCAGTGAAAATAATAAGAGCATCTTTGCCTGGCACTATCCATTGGGCTAAGAATGACACTTCAAGACTTAACGACATTGTATTTGAAGGTAAGTCTTTTTGTTGGTATGTCAGGCACAAGCATAGGCTATAGAAAGCTGAACTAAAAGAAAAAGGAAGCATTTTTGCTGACTGGGTCACAGAAAACGTAGACTGTATTTATTTTATCTTGATGCATAAAAAGAAGTCACACACCCTTCTGAATAAATGTTTCAAACTTAAGCACACACGCGTCTGCAGCAACACACTTACAAGTGTCACAGATAAAACCTAATTGTCCACTTCTTTTCCTTGAAGACAAATATTATGATTACTTATTAGACTGATGTTCCCAGAAGAAAGAAGCACCAATTTCATACAGCAAGTATGAGAGGTCTATTTAAACAGGCAGACAACCACCTGTTTTGCTGGGGATTGCCAAGTTTTGTACTAGCTAGAGAGATCATGCTGGTCTTCAACAATGGACAGATTTGGCAAACACATACTGAGATTGCTCTAAAAGAAGGACTAACAAATCTAACAACGCAAGTTTTTTCTTAGCACTAGACACATATTTTTCTTAGTTTGTGCCACACACAAAGCAAAGCAACTTTAGAAGACTTATTCATTGCAAGTCTTACCACATTACTTCACACTTGTCACATGATGAAAACAAACATAAGTACAGCAGCCCAGCTAACACATGGCAGACTTAACTGCTTATGTTAGACCTGCGAGTTAAAAGCATTTTGGAGTACCTTCCACAAGACTTTCACCTGGATTAGCAGCAAGAAATAGGATTCATACTAAACAATAAGTAACAAACAAGCTGGGCTAGTAGAACACTTATTTAAAATAAGCATACATAAAACCATATAGACCTTACTAATCTCTAACATTAGAACCCTGTTCCACTTGAGCACTAATATCCACAAGAAAAGAATCTAACTCATATTCCACTCAAAGTCTGCAACCCATTTTGACATAGCTTGATATGTTCCCAAGCAATAAGCTGAGTAAGAGCAGCAAATAGATCTTGTTCTGTTCTCATACCGTAAGAAAATTCTTCTTCGATAGGAGACGGCAATTTTTCTTTGTTTCAGGATAAATAGTGCATCTAGAATAAGATATAAAGTAAGCTTACCTGAGAAAAGCCAAGTCTTGTTTGGAAAGGTCTCTACAAACTGTCTATGAAGACACCCATTATAGCACAAATACATCAGGAACTTACTGCTTCAGTAACAGAGGCAGGGAGAAGCTGCTATGCACCAAGCTGGTGGAGGGCAAGCCAAGATCAATGAAAATATATTCTCTGGTAAATCTACAAATGTATTCATCAACTCAAATGGCTTCAATTTTCTGTATCTGTCACTCAAGAGTTTTCCGTCATGCAATAATACAAATGATGGCCTTGAATGAAATCAGACAACAGACACGCAGGCTGTTCTTAACAAATAAAGAAGAAAATCTCACAATAGGTGGCTATCCTATTTTTCAAAGCTGCCCAGCCTTTGCAGAATTTATCCACAGGATGTGTGTGCGTGTGTGAATGAACTCTGGATGCAGTACAAGGAGGCTGGACTTGGATGAAGAATGAACACTTGCGTTCAGAAGTGACCTTCTGGAATCACAGTGTGAGGCACTGGATAGTGGAAAATAACAAAACCAGGATCCAAAAACTGATCACGTCCCATCCTTTGGGAACTGCTGGAAGAGGAGGAAAAGCATATATTGTGCCTTTACCTAATCTGAAAAGCATCTGCTTGGAAGTTTGTACACTTGCTAAGAAACAGGGTTTTTTTCAGTATTCAGTTAAACAGAACTACGGGAAATACATTGCAAAACACCATGATTTTTTATCAACTACCAGCCAAATTTGTGAACTCAACTCAGAAAAGTAACAAAACAAAATTCTGAGCATTCTTTTACAATGCACCAGTCCCATAAGAAACCAAGTCCCTGGTACATGTTAATCTTTTTTTTTTTTTTTTTTTTAATACATAGTTCATTTTCAGAAGTAGGGAACAGCCCACTAGGACTCAACAGTTTTGGGTGGGGAGAAATTTTGGGTCAGCTCTGTATATTATGTCAAGTTCACTTAAGGAATACAGTCTATACTTGGAGCACACGTTACTAAGCCCTTTTCTCTCTCAGCTCATTTCAAAGATGAGGACAAAACCTTGGTAGGCCTCAGAAGAGGACACAGCACTCAAGAAAGTGTATCCCTAACTAAATCAACAATGAAGCAAACTTATTTTCCACTGGTGTTAATGCATGACTAATGCATATTCTAGTGATGCAGTGATCTATTCATTAATTATGAAATTTCAAATACTGTCAAACTATCTCTTAAAACAGATTCTTGAGTTGCAGTAGTGGATAGCAAATTACTTAAAGTCTGTCAAGCTGCTCTGGGCTTTGAAAATCACTTTGGAACATTCTAAAAACCACAAAGGCCAGGTCTGGCTTCTTGACATTTTTCAAACTTGCACAAAGAGGAAGAAACAAAAAAAACCCATTGTACTGAGCCTGAAACAGTCACATGCTCAATGCATGCAACGCTCATAGATTCAGCATCAAATATTCTCTTGTAATTGCTGCCTTTGTAGTAAAAGCAGGCATTGTCAACAAGATAGCTAAAGGTGCTCCAAGTGTCACTGACGCAGGCTCAAACAAACTCCTAAAATGACAATAGACAGCCATTTAGCAGCTTCTAATATGATAACTAACAAGTGCTAAGGCTCAAAACAGAAGG